CGTGTTTCTTGTTTGCGGGCATGCACCTAACTGCTGTACTTTCATTTCATGTTGCATTACCGCCCAATATTGTCCGACTTACCTTCTGGGCCAGGGGGAGGCCTGGCGAGAAACATTCTAGCAAAAGTAGGATTAGTGACGGAGGAACACTTCGGTTTTTCCCACATTGTGACGAGATTCTTGCTGAGATTTGATTCCGATAGCTTGCAACAGAACATAGAAAAAAAAAACGCGGACATTTGGTCGACATGACGTGGAAGCTGCCGCGCCCTGATTGGCCGAAAGAATCTCTCTCGCGCCTTTTCCCTCCGCCACTTCTCCACGCTACATTGTAGAAATGGGCTGTTGATTACAAGATGGTTTGTTTGTCAAAGGTATCGACCGGTGGTGCTAAGAAACAGAAAGAAACACCCACAAGCCACAAGGTTCACGTGGCTTCAGTGCTTCAGTCGATCCCATGGTCTGGGGGGTTCAACCAAGACGCGTCCATCCATGTTTTCAGCATCTCAGGGTTATTCTTAACGCGACGAAAAAAAAACGCTTTTTTCCACGGAACGGTGAAAAGAAGATCCGATTATTTTTCGCTTGTTCTAATCGTGATGTCATCGCGAAACGCACGTTTCCTTCCCTGAATACACGTTTTGCTCGACACACAACAGGTTGACATGGTATTGCTCACCATAGAGCAGCGGTGAAAGCGCAATGAGCAGCACCCGACACAGAGGACAACACACTCAGAAAGATCCCGTCCACCTGGCCTGCTGTTTTCAGTTTTCGGCAACAACAGGCTCATGGCAGAGTGTCGCCACCTGGGTGTTGCTTGCGATTTCTTCAGTTTGCCAGCTCATTTTTCACGGTTGCGACTCCCATCTTTGACCACCACCTGCCCAAAGGTAGACGAGCTGAACAATCATAGGGCGGCAGCCGCGCTGACGGCCAGCATCATATAGATGGCCAATCCGAAAGAATTAGCGTGTCGGAGGCCCTGTTGCTCTACTGCTGCGTGGTGCCGTGGATTGATGTTGATGCGTCCGACCAAAAACGCATCATCTCGCCGCATTTTTCCAACGGCATTTTGGTGAGGTGGCACACGTCTCTAACACACTTTATTGAGCAGCACCCAAGCACCCAATACCCACGAAGCAGCACGGCGCCGGGAGATGGTATCATATGGACAGCCGAACCGAAGGAATCAGCGCGTTGGAGGTCTTGCTGCTGCTGCTGTACTCGTTCTACTGTTTCCGTGTTTGCTATGTGTGATTGAAAAAAATCCCCAAGCACCAACAGCAGCAGTTGAAGACGAGAGCACCACGCAATGCCTAGTTTTGGGCCAAGAACGGACTGAACGCCACTTCTGCCGCTTGTCCATCTCCACAACAGACCTGGACGTGAGTCTGGCAGGTCTTTCTAGCGTTCTCAGTGATGTTACAGCGCCCGCGGTGCGCTTGTCCGATGTTTTTGTCAAAAACACGAATTCGTTTAAGTAGCAAGCCCCAAAAAAACCCGGCTCCTTCTTTTCACGCTTTCGGGGAAAAACGCCTCCATATGTGTTCAAGAAAACACGGTTTCGTTTTTTTTTTCGTGTTTTATTGGTCGATAAGAAGCACCCTCAACTAAAAACTTATTGTAGCGAATTTTCTGAGGGAGCGCCACTCTATGCTCAGAAAAACACCTCATGTTCGAAACATCAGAGAAACGCGGGTACCTGTTCAGTCGCCTCGGGTTTCTCAGCGGAAACACTCATGGCTGGCGGCACGAAATACGGCACCGCAGGGTACAGGCTCGTCCGACGCTTTCATAAAACCACTGAACAGAGGGCACTTGCACACACTTTTCCTGGATAGAACCTCTACTCGTTACGTTCATTGGTGGTGTTGTCGACAGAGGGAAAAAGCAAGCACCCCCGCACACTTCGGACGACTCACTCAGAGCTCATGGAACACCCTGAATTATTTGGTAAGCAAGGCAATGTGTTTCAGGCGGCCGGACCTCGTCTCATCCCAGCGTTTTCGGTTCCACGGCACTTTTTCTGTAATCACATGGAACGCGGAATGCACGTAACGAGGAGATGCTCTATCCAGGAAAAATGTGTGTTGAAGTGTCCTGTCCAGTGGTTACATGAGACGTCGGGCGAGCCTGTACCCCGCTGCGCCATCGTTCGTGCTTGTCTGAGCCAGGGGTGGGTCTGCGGTGGAAAGCGATATATGGTTCCTGTTATCGCAGAGGGAAGAGAATGTTAATGCTACCCTCTTTCTCCCAATTGAGAGCGAAGGCAAGGTACCTCAGGAGGGGTAAGTATGGTAGGGGGTCTCAGGGAGAGGAGATCTTCTGTGTGACCACGGGTTGGAGAAAACGGCACAAATGCTGTGGGCGCTGACTTAAAGTGAAGACAACAATAAACAAAATGGGTGGCAAGCGGGGTATTCCTCCGACAAATAATAATACTGCTACGAAAAAGTAGCCGCTACATACCCCGCGGTTATGAACCTCGCAACATGTGGCCAACGTTATCTAACCCAAACAAAGACCTCCGGAAAGGTCCATGTAGCTAACTTGTGAGGGTCTTGCCAATGTGTCTTTGATGGTATGGAGCGTGTACTCAGGTATCAGTGGCGGGTCACCTTGATCTTGAGCCCCCACACACTCGTCAGTAGTACGGTGGTGGTGGTCCCGATATATACCGCGGCAGGAATAACTTGTCACGGGGATTTGGCTATGGACTATATCCCCCTAGTCTAGCACTCAATAGCGCGGTGTCCCTATATTTCGCGGTCAAGTTGCCTGTCACTATGTACACCGCGGTGTATTAGGACAACGACTGCGCTGTTGTATTGATTTCAACGGGTTTGTAGGGGGAACGGCACGACGACCGGTCCGATCCCGGCGGAGGAACATCCACCGGCCTAGTACGGGGTACAAGGTGGTACTACTGTAGACTAAAATCATGCGGTAATGTGCTGTCCTGATTTATTGGCGACCTTTTGATATTTCCTACCGTCGTGTTAGTCGCAAGAGCTGTTTGGCATGGCGTGCCGGGAAGCAGCGATGGGTTATTCCATGAATCTGCAAGGGTGCGTTCGGTGGGGTATGTACCGAGGCATACCGCGGGTATTTACCCTACCGCCCGTCTCGGTACGATCTGTACAGACTTCCTTTCCCCTACAAAATCCAGGTACGATCTGGACAGACCCCCATACCCTACCGATCTCAGTGGTGTGCATACGATCCGTACAGAACTCCACACCCTACCGAGCATACCCACCCTTAACCTACCGAATACATCCTTTAGTCTCGATATGCCCGACACATGACCGGCGACGTGTGACAGCTGTCTGGGGGCTCGTTTCCTCAAAGGGTATTTCTTGATTGCTGTTTCGATTACCTGGTTTTTTTTTTCTAATGTTGTGTTCGTGGTGAGGTTCTCATGAAGTGACCTTGTTTCTGCACATGGCACTTCAAGTGTAATTCAGAGTTTACTTGAGAGTGTTTTTTTTTTTTCCTGTTTTTTTTTTTTTTGTCTTCTTTTCTTGCTGTCGTGTTCATGACGAGGTTTCGTGTACGTACGTACACTTCTTCGTGTATGAGAGTGGCTCTCACAACAAACCGTATGAAAATCGTCGCTTGGGCTTGCCGGAAACAGGCTTCACTCCTCCTCGGGTGGCTCTCTCTCTCTCTGATGCGTTTGACCATGTTACGTGCACTCGGCACTAGACACCGATCTACGGAGATCTAGAGGGTGTAATGTTGGTATGTGTTTGTGGAAGTGCGATCCCACAAGCATGTCCTATTCGCTCGTTATTTTCAAGGTTTTAAGGTCTTGAGTCAACCTCTACGCAGCCTCTGACGCGAAACACCCGCTACCGAACATGATATATCGGGGAAGCATCCTGCGGGTGTCGGTATTGGTGTGGAGCTACGTGTGAGCCGTTTCTTCACAATCTGGAGCTACGGCCTACCCCTTTTAACCGCACTCGTCACAATTTGGAGCTCGCGGTCAATGTGTGTGCCTGTTTAATGTGTTATCGGGAAGACCATGGTTCAACTTTCAACTGCTGCTGCTGCTGCTGCTCCTGCTCCTGTGTATTGCGCCGCATCCAGCGTCGGGTGTACCCGCTGAAGTTGTTCCCACCTCCCGTGCCCGCACGGCATTGGCGACTCTGCCCTCTGCGAGGGCGAGCTCGGCTTTAAGTTCAGCCACCTCATACGAATCCCATCTCCTTCCCGACACTGCATCAAAGGCACACACATAAGACCGCGAGCTCCAAACTGTGACGAACGCGGCTAAAACGTGTAGGCCGTAGCTGCAAATTATGATGAAACGGCTCACACGTAGCTCCACACCAATACCGACACCCACAGATACTTCCTCGACGTATCGCATTGGGTAGCGGGTGCTTTTCTCCAGAGGCTGTCTGCAGAGTAAAGGTTGACTCAAGACCTTTAAGACCCTGACATTTTCGAGTGAGCAGGGCACGCTTAGCCATCAACGCAGAAGGGGGATCGCCCTTCTACGAACACATAATAAATACCAACATGATTCCAACCCCCTAAGATCTCCGTAGATCAGTGTCTAGTGCTAGTATATCTGACAGACCACGAACGGGGGGAAACGCAGGCACGATTTTCTCTGCTTTCCTCTCTCCAGCCACCATCATGAGCATTCAGCCACCGCCCTCGTTCCCCTTTTCCTTTCCCCCACCACTACCGTGAGTATTTGGACACTGCTTTCAATCTCCTTTTCCTTTCTCCAACCACTTGCCATGGGTATTCGGCAACTGCTTTCGGTCTGCTTTTCCTTTCTCCAGCCACTATCATGAGAATTTCGGCCACTCCTGCTCCTCCGCTCACCCTTTTTATCGTCCCCGGAAGTTCGACTGGTTTCTTCGATTACACTTTGCCCTTGGGTTGTTACACAGGTGGCCACGCTCCTCCGCCTGGTCGCCTTGATCATCAGCGTCTCGATCTTCCACCCCTGGCTGGACGCGAAGAAGCGGCAACATATGAACATATTCTGCCTCCACTGGGCAAGGTGGGTGGGTGGCGGTGAAAAATGGCACCGTCTCAGGTCTGCACGACAAGCTTGTGTGCGAGGTTTTTTTCATGTTGGAGAGGTAGCGGGAAATGTGTCAGGTCTGCATCGAAGCGTGTATGTGCGGGTTGCAATGACGGATGTGGAGACAATGGTACCATATGCATGAAAAGCATGTGGTGTGGTTAGCCATGTTGGAGAGGTGGGCGGAGACGGTGTAAAAGTGTCAGGTCTGCTTGAAGCATGTGCGGTGACTATTTAGGTTTGCACGGTGGGTGCAGACGGTGGCAATGTCTCTGGTGCTCCCGAAGCGTGTGCCGAGACATGTGACGTCATCATGTTGGAAAGGCAGATGACGACAATGGAAAATGTGTCAGGTCTGTGTGCAGATACACATTGTATCATGCCGGCGTAAGTTGGCTCGTTTCGCCCAGGGTGTAGCTCTCGCAAAGCAAGGTTGGTTATGGCGTTCATAGCGGTTGTGCACATTTTATCGTGTCTCTGCTGTTTGTGAGTGGCACGGTGCCCTCTTCTGACTTTATTTTTTCTTTTTTCACTTCAACGCTTACAACACTTGTGCCGTCGTTTACTCCGACCAGTGTGAGAGGCGTGGTTAGAACATATTCAGTCGATGCGCTTAAGTCATGATTGGATCCCCCGTCGAACGTACATACAAACAATATGTTCTTCGATCCCCCGTGTTCCATGCCACACCCCTTCTTCGACCCCTTTTGTCTTAAAGAACGAAGCATATTCTTGTGCCCGACCCGATGAAACTGACGTGGCTTTTGTGTGTTCCGCCGGCTGGCCACTAGTCTGCGTAAGTAGCTATACATGTAGTACCGCCAATACGTGCCTCTCCCACTTCCCGTGTTGCGCGCTACCTCTCGCACAGCAACAGTACTTGCTGCTGCTGCCGGCCCCTCTTGAAATCGCTGCTACGTACGCCTCTCCAGAAAATCGAGCCACTCCATCATCATATCCACACCATGGTTCAGAAACAAATCGAGCTTTTGGCAACACAGCGCGTTCTACCTGCCTAGATCGCAACCACCAACCACTCCTTGTTACGACGACCCCTCCCCACCCCCCACCGCTTCTGCGTCACCCCCCTTCCCCGCCATCATCCCAACGTTTAAGCTCCAGCGGCGGCATGCATGCGTGTGCCGAGCCGTTGGAGACGATGTTCAAGCCACCGTGTCCTCCCTTCCCAGTACCCTTCGCAGGGTATTTCTATTTAAGTCAACATGTTGGACAAACCATGCAGTCGGGGAAGCTGGGTTAGGGATAGGGCCTGCGTACCCCCCTCCTTCCCTGTTCGATTTTTCTCATGAAAATAAATTTCTCGCGCAGTGGGTCCCCTCTCTCTTCTACAGCTTGCCTTGTTGTCTTCCGCACCGTCATGTGTTGTTGTCGACCCAACGTTTTCAGCGCCGTCACGTACGTGGTGAGCCAGCTCGTCATGTCGGTGATGGTGATCAACTGCTGGAGCTCGAAGACCAGGGCGGGACCGGTCATCTACGTCCTCAAGTTCGTGGAGCTGACTTCCATCAACCTGTGGGCGATCTCGAGCATGGCCATCTCACTCCTCATCGCGAGCATCGTGCAGGTTAGAAGAAAACAAGAGTAGATCTTCCTGCGACCTACCCCCATCGCACCGCGTGGCGGTTCCTTGTGCGTTGTTTGCCTTTCTGCTCAATCGTTCACGTCTTCCCCCCAGGGCTCTTGTCAGAAATGGGGGGGTACTCATAGCTGGCGCCCATCAACCTCTGGGCGACATCGAGCATGGCCGTCCCACTCCTCATCGCAAGCATCGTGCACGTTTGCCGAAGAAATGAGAAATGATTTCACGCGACGGGTACCTACCCCCATCGCAACGCGTGGCGGTTCACTGGTTTGCTGTTTGCCTTTCAGCACAATCGCCGTTCACGTCTACCTCCTAGGCCACTTTATCAGAAATGGGGGGGAGCGCACTCATATTTCGCATGCCTTAGCAGTTAGACCATTGACCACGCGTCCCCGAGAGGAAGAAGCATTTTCCCCACAGGACTGATGACCGATCGGCAATCGTTCCTTCCCACTATGCCAAAGTTGGTTCAAAAATGTTTCCCCTAGCCTACCTATCCTAACGATGGGGGGGACACCCAAGTAGTGCCAACATACACACCACCTGCTCCTCAGCCCGGTGTACAGTACGTGTCCCAATAGACATCACGTTTTCGAGACGCGTTCGAGGACCGGCCGTAGTGCCATCCTTTTACAACATTTCAGGGACACTGCTGCTCCTCAACACAACGCTCGCCGATGGACATCACTTTTTTGGAGAGTCGTTGTGGCGTTTCGAAATGCCTTTTGTTGATGGTTCTCCGCATCGTACTGACCATTGTTCGCTCTTCCGTATGTAGGCACTTTCCCGCGACACGCCGAAGCTACTGCTGTCGTAGCATTAGCAACAGCTTAGCCCTCATTCGAAGGTCAACACTTCGAAGATTGGCACCAGCCTCCCAAACCCCAAGACGATATAACTAAAATGCTGGAAAGACAACGCCCCAAGAAAAAGTGTCCTGCCGTGTGTGGTGAAACCATCTCTTCCTCCTGCTCCTCGGCCCCTACCAATCTTACAGGCGTTCTCGAAAATGCGAAGAGTTCCCAGAGTGATCGGTTCTTCCCGCGTGATCTGGAGCTGCGTTTTCGTGGCGATGGGGTTGACGCTGCTCTCCGCCCCCTTCTGGAACGACGTCCTCGTGACCGGGAGCTACTTCTGGATAACCAACCGCAACGATGTGCGTGCGTACCCGAGAGAGGCACACACAGAGAGAGACACAGAGAGTTCGATGATTATTAAAATGCTTACGTAATCTCTCAGAAGGCTAGTACCCGTTCGAGATAAAACCCCAGTCTAAACGGATGTGTTGAAGTCTTTCAAGTGAGTGGAGGGAAAATGGCTGGAAACTGGGCTTGTTTTTGAGTTTGTTTAAGCCCAACACTGAAGAGTTGTCAGTGTTGGGACTTGTTGTTGTTGTTGTTGTTGTTTTTGTTCTTGTCTTCACTTTAAAAGGCGTTGGGATCTCTCCACCCAGTGCCTTCGTCTATCCGCACTGATCAAACACTTGACGCCGTTCGATTCACCTGGTCACAGGCTAGGTTACCCTAAAAAGGTTACACTCAGAAAAACTGACAACTATTTGTGTTATATTTGTTCGTTTTATTGTTGGGTGTCTCTTTGTTGAATGTTTTGAATGCTTTGATTGCTGTTGCTGCTGTTGTTGCTGTTGTTATGTTGTTGTCGTTGGTGCTGTTGCTCTCTGTGGTGCTGGTGTTCCTCTTGTTGTTAGGCTGCTGCTGCTGCTGTTGCTCTTCTCGCGTTCTGATTATGCTGCCGATTCTCTTGGTGTTCCAAACTGTTTTTTGGTCGTGTTTGCGATGATGGCGGTGGTTGCCGTTGATGATACTGATGGTGTTGTTGACGCCTGTCCATCTCCTCGTCTGTCTCTGTCTCGGTCTCTACCTCCGTCTCTGTCTCTGTCCCCTCTTCTGTCTTTCTCTGTCTCTGCATCTCTGTATCTGTGTATACATTTGTGTTTCTTCCTCGTTGTCTGTCTGGCACTCTCTTGTCGTCGTATCTCTGTCTCTGTCTCTGTCTCTGTCTCTCCACCTTTCCGCAGCCAAACTTGGCTCGGTGGATCAGCCTGTCCTTCGTCACCACTCAAGGGATTGCGGGAGCGCTCATGGCTCTCACCCTGGTGTTCGTAGCAACGGGGAAAAGAAGGAAGAGCCTCCTCGTGTGCATCAGGACCAGCAAGCGGATGAAATTGTGTGAGACGTTTTTTTCACATCAAGAAGACGATTTAAAACATGAATTCGTGCACTTGAATACATATTTAGTTTAAACCACGTCACATGTTTGTTCTTTATCTGCTTCATTTTTTTTGTGATATTGTAGGAAAAGTCAAGCACCGTACGTGCCGAGGGGAGAACATAGACTGATGGCATGAGAGTAGAAGAAGGGCGAATGTCCGACGTTTTCCCTATGTTTCGAAGCTCTGGCGAGTACACCAGGCAGTCGTTTCCTCCGGCATTTCGATCGATCCCCTCCTCACCAAGCCGCGGGGCAAAGACATTCAAATAGCCACCTGGAACATCACCGCCCAAGCTATGGAAGCCAGCGCGCTAGGTTCCCTTACCGCGAAAACAAAACCGCCAATCAACCCGCGGTTTGCCACCATGAACCTCTTCTGCCGCGACACGGAACACACTAGCGGGTCGCGACGTCGTTATTGTGTGTCCCCTTCTTCGTGCTACCGGTTGGTGATGAAGTTGTTATCGCATAAGAAACGGTCGTGGCCTCTTCCCAGTGCCTCGTATTCCCAAACCATCTTGGAAACGGAAGAACCAAGCGCCGTTGACAACCTCCCCACCAAACACGCAAGGTGCGAAGAAGGCCAAAAACCGACGAATAGCCGGAGTAGATGAAGGATCTGGTGCGCCGATCTCGCACCGTGGCACCCCTAGTTGCTACCCGTTGGTGACGAAGCTGCTATCGCGCATCAAGAACGGTCGTGGCCGTTTTCCCAAATGTCTTCCAAACCGAAGAAATAAAAACGCCGATGGCCACCAGCCCACCGCCAGACCCAGGCGCAAAAACCGTCGAAAAGTTAGTAGATGAAGGTGCATTGGGGGGCCTGGTTTACCGACCCCTATTATAGTGTCACGAGGACGTGTGGCCGCTATTCCGAGCGGGTCGCCAAACCGAACTACCAATCTTACAGCAGTTATTCTACCGGGGTGCGGCAGTACGACGTGGTTTTTTGGTCGCCAAACAGGGCATCTCGCTAAACGGGGGGTCGCTAAACCGCCCCCCCCCACTGTACTGATAAATCCTTCTTGCGTTGTCGGCATTACATTTTTTCACTTGCCGGGGCGTCTTTTCGCTCATCGTTCCGTTTCCATACGGTCTTGTCTGTCTGTCTGTCTGTCTTCTCTGTCTTTTTTTGTTCTGTCTTGTCTCTTTCTCTCTGTGTGTGTGTGTCTCTCTCTCTCTCTTTCTCCCTCTCCCTCTCGCTCTCTCCCGCTCCGTCTCTGCCTCTCTCCCCCCCGTGTCTCTCTGGTGTTCCCCCTCGCCGTCCTGCGTACTATATCATCCTCCGGCGACAATGACGTCAAGATTTCATCCTAACCGCCTTCGGAACATGCGTGTACCTGTACAACGGGTTCGTCCTTTTGTTCGACGAGGTATGAAAACAGTCAAGGGGGCCCCTAATGTTGTGCGGGTGGAGTTGACTGGCTCAGACAGACATCATCAAAACGACGTTTAATGCATCGAATGGTGCAGGTGTCCGCTGTGATGTGCGGGCGAAGAGAGCTTGGCACAAACCCCCACTATCGCGGGCCCGTCACTCTACGCGATTTCACCTGATGACCGGAGATAGCAAACGTATACTGTAAGAATGTTTTTTTTATGCGGGTCGAGGCCCAAGGTCTTGTTTGGTCGCCAACGTCGAGTACTACATCTTTTTACGCATGGGGTTTTGTGTAGGATCTACCTGAAGCCGCAGGTTACATGACGAAAGATATCACACACCCCTGGACCGCTTTTCAGAGCTCCGACTACTCCACAACGAAGAGCATGCATGATCCAAACTATGAGTTTTCGGAAACTGCTCGACAAGACGGCCCCAACGCGGACCTTTTCTGCATCGCCACTCTTCCTGTTCGTGGAGAAACGGAGCTTTGAATATCAGTCCAGGGGGCGTGATATCTTGCGTTAGGGAAGTCTTTACCCCTGAGACCCCACCGGGTCCTGAGACATGGACAACGAAAGATAGAAAACGCTGACCGTTTTTGTACATCTCCGCCTAGAGAGAGCCGAAACGGCCACTCCGTCTTGCTGGGAAAATGAAAACTCGTCCCAACCTTCATGCGGTTGTTGTTGATATGATCACACGCGAAAAACTGTTCTCATTGAGCGCACATCTTGCTGCCTTTCCGTTTAGAACCGCTCAACACTTCCGAGGATGGTAAGACAATCCCATTTCTGGACAGGAAGAAGCAAGAAACACAAAGTAGGGTGCGGGGAAACCCAAATGGTAATGCAACAAAGATCTCATCGCGCCAACCTCTGGGGTCTGAGCTACCGCAAGACGCTCGGGGCATGGTCTTGTCTGCGTGGGCTGTGTGAAGTATGTGCGGGCAGTATATGTGTGGGCAGTACCGTAGTCGATCTGCACCCGGCTGTTGTGCGGGCAGAATATTCTCGTCCCTTCTCCCCTCCCGAGGGTATCACGATCTTGGCCGGGTGCTCTTCGGGGTTCTCACAAAACTTGACACGTTGAAATTGCACGAGTATTGCGTAAGCACCCCCCCAAAAATATTGAACACACTTTGGCAGAATGCCGCACAACCTCCATTTTTTTTTTTTATTCACTTCAAATCAGCGCTCACAGCACTAGTGCCGTTTACTCCAACCCTCTCATGCGACTCGCCGAATACCTCACAGCGCTTCGCACTTGGTGGTGTGAGAGCCTCTGGTGAAAACCCGGCGTGCTCCGTCCCGACTTTGTAGGGGAGCGAGGTCAGTGGTCTAATCGCTACGGCATGCAAAACACGAGTACGCCCCCGCCCCCCCACCCCCGCTCTCCCGCCGTTACTACCACGGGTTGCAGCTATCCCGCCTCGGCTCGGCGAAGAAGGAGCTAACCATGGTGGGCTGGTGCTCTAAATACCTGCACGTCGTGGCCGACACCCTGGTGCTCTACTACGCGTTCCAGGTACTTCTTTAGTACCTTCTTCTCTAGAACCTTTATTTAGCACCTTCTTCTTTAAAACCTTTAGAACCTTCTTCTTAGAACCTTTGTCCGCAAGAAGCGAAGACTTCGACGCTTAGAAAACGTTTTGGATAAAAAATGCGCTTGATTGAGCAGTTTTGATTGTTGGCGGAGATTGTTTGTGTGTTTCTTTGAAACCTCTGCCTGCAATAAATGAGACACCTTGAAGCAAAGAGAGTTGTCAGAACTTGGGCAGTTTGACTGCTGACAGCGTGTGTATTCATTTTCTTGAAACCTCTTCCGCAAGGGAGTAACACATTGGATTATTGAGAGTGCTTCCGTGAGATGAAAGGGTAGTCTCTCTTTGGCTGTACGCATGTTTTCTTGTTTTCCAATAAACTGGTCACATGGTATTCCACTGTTTGCGTCACCCCGTCAACACAAACCACGTCAACACAAGACACCACACTAACGGAAAAAAACTACGTGCACGCCATTGTTTGCGTCACCCCCCCCCCCCCCCCCCCCCCCCCCCCAAAAAAAAAACCCCCCAAAAAAAAACACCCCCCCCCCCCCCCAAACCCCCCCAAAAAAAAAAAACCCCCACCCCCCCCCAGGGAGGGGGGCCCCGGGGGAAAACCCAAGGGGGGGGCGGCCCCCGGGGAAAAAAAAAAAAAAAAAAAAAAAAAAAAAAA